TATATCACTGTTGTTTCCTAGTTCCAAAACCACATAATTGGTCATACCTTACTTCACTTATTTTGCAATAGACCCAACAGTCCAATACAGAAATTAACTTTATTTTAGAGACCCAGAGAAGCACCAAGCTTGTGAAGATGGAGCAGCAACCTGCCCTGACCGTCACTGGACCTGCAGAGCCTCAGATGCAAACCCATCCCACGCTTCCCTTGATCCTGACCCCACCAGGTTTCAGAGGAGCCCTTTGAAGCTGCTCTGAGTTTTATCAAGTCAGCAGCAGCCCAAGCAGTGGTGAAAAGAGCCTGTCCAGGTGAGGCTGGGCTYGGGTGATGAAGGAAACCTGTCAGGTAATGCTTCCTGTGTGGTTAATTCTGCTGTGACCCTGCCACCACCTACAAAYACAGAAAACGTTTCTAATAGATTTGCTTTTCTTCTCCGAGTGATGGGGGACTTGACATCATATCAAGCCTTACCACAGGCTTGCCAGGAAATGAGGTTTTATTCACACACAGTTTAAAAAAAAAAAAATAAGTCTCAAAAGGACCTTTCATCAAACACTTGTTTGCCACTTGAAAAACTGASCCTTAACCATTACATTCCAGACATCTCCACAGCCATCTGCATATGTRTTGAGGCTGCATGGCTGTGGGCTTGGGGGTTATCTGGTTTTTTAGTTAACTCTAGCATTCCCTAGGGAGGGAACCATTCCTCCTGAAGGGTTTTTCTCTCTGCATTGCCAAACAAGTGCTGTTCTGWAATACTTTGTAGCAAAACCAAAACAATGGGAAACAAGCAAAATRTACAACCCACTTCTCTAAATCCATTTTCCACTGGATGGATTATTGTAAAACTGCTACGCCTTTTTCTTTTATCCTTTTWTTTTTCCTTTTTGTTTTTGCTTCTGTAGGATAAGCAACAGCCTGCTCCAGCAACTGTTTCCCACTGTGAAAAGTCCATGCCAGCTTGGYCCCCAGGGTCCTGAGAAACAGCCCACCAAGTTAACACTGCAGTAGATTTAAKGGGAGCTCACAATAGACATGCATTRCAGGAGAATCTGTGACTTCAGAAATTCCATGATGCAACAGAAAAGCTGGACAAACAGACCAAAATGCCAATGGTTTCATGATTCCTCACATTTCAGACTCCTGCAGCACTAAAGTGGTACCTTAGGCATGCCCTGAATTGCAGAGAGGGGTGGGCAGCCCGGCAGGGAAACCCTCTGTGCTGCTGCCATGTGATTCTGGCAGATTGCACACAGGGAGCCGGAAAATGACAGATTTTTGTCTATAATTTCTGTGGTTTGTTCGTATTGTTCCACCTGCAGGGAAGCACAGTGACAGGAGGCACAACAACTAGGAATGAGGTGGCACATAGACCCTATTTCCCATGGTGCCCTGTATGTATTGCCCTATTAAAGTTAGAGCTGAAACAGCATATACTTAATATTTGCAAACACATCTCGGGTAATTAGATTGCAAATTCAACCTCTCCTTTGGCCATTAGGGCTCCTTTCCCAAAGCAAGGCTGTTACTGATGATGCTTGCACACAGCTCTGCTCTCTGTGGATCAGGTTTCTCACTTTTTAGTAAAAGTCAGGAACAGTTTCACTGCATTTGGCTCTTGCTGATGGCATCTAATCAAAGCCACACGTGCTGAAGCCCAAATCATCAGGATGCTCTGCTACAGCAATCTGCCTGCATAAGAAACCA